AGCTACACCGATGGATGACAGTGACGCCTCATGACGCCTCCAATACCTCATCGGGACCTCATCTGGTTTGCTCAAGCATCATATGCTTGATATGCCTGAGCAAGGATGACTTCACTGTCGGATACTTGGCCAGTGGGTATGGAGAAGAATAGGACTCGCTGCTTTGCTGCCTGGGACTTGCAACAAAAGGCACCTGTTTGCAAGGCACCAGCTGGCGTGTGCAACATCTTGCGATGGCTTGCTTGAGGATGCAGCCAAGAATGTGATGCCGAGGGAAGCCTGTGGAAGGCGGAGAGCAGGTCCAAGGCTGACGAGGCGATGCGTGATAGTCTGGGAGGCTCCTCCCTCCCAGCCATGCCAGCCCGGCGATGTTGTGCGAGCGCGGCCGTCGAAATGCGGTCGCTGAGAGTTAACGCCGTCTGAGACCGAGGGTCTTCAGCATCAATCTCAACTGAGCGAGACACACCTCCATGGATGTGGAAAGCGGCGATGTTCCCGCAGAAGCTTGACCACTCGATCCCCCCGGCGCAGGCTACTGGTAGAAGGTCTGTAGCTGCTTGTGGAGCATGAGAGGGATGGTGAGATCATCATGGCACCCTGGAAGGCTCTTGTGCGAGCACCTCTGATCGTAAGAAATCGCAGGTTCAAGAGACACCTGCTGCTGCGAGGGGCATGTTTGGACGTTGCGAGGTCACACCGGCCCCTCCAAGGCAACAGGAGAACAAAGGGAAGTCGCTCAGCCTGTACACCAGCCCGTCTGGCAAACCCCGCTGACGGGCCCCGCCAAACGCCTGAACCGCAAGGAAACTTCCCAAACGCCCTGCAGCCTGTGGTTTCAGACCACTATAAACCCGCTCAGCGCACGTCCGTGGCCCACCTCAGCCCACCACACTCCATCCCACGCACCCGTGCCAGTGGCACGTCGCGTTCGTCGTTGTTGTGGCTCGTGCTGAAAGTCAAAGCGGATCGCGCTCTCCATGCGTCGCTATTGACGAAGAGTGGAAGGAGGCGGATCTGGCATGCAGCAGACTCAGGCATCTTTGTTGTGCGTGCAGTGTGGTGGGGACCGCCATGCTGCAAACAGCTGCTTTGCCGCTTCGCCCACCAAACCTTTGAGCTGCGAGGCTCCCTGAACCCGGCTCCGGCTCCGGGTGCCGCGGTGGAGATCTCGATCACAGAAGTTGAAACCAGCCCAACAGAGGAGGACACATACAAATAGAGATGTCGGTTTAGATTCACTCAAGCATGCGAGCATCGCCCCCGGTGGCATCCGCCACATCCCTGCTCGGTCAGAAGCACATGATGAGATAAGGATCTGGGAGCTTCGCTTCGTCAACTTCCGAAGCCGCACAAAGTCTAGAGGCAACAGGGTGCAGCAGCCCTGAAGACGGGACGCTTGCAAGCTAAGCCACGCGGTCACTCCGCTCGCCAGTTGAGGCCGCCGAGACATTAGACCAACCCCTTCCAAGCACAGAAGTTGAAACCAGCCCAACAGAGGAGGACACATACAAATAGAGATGTCGGTTTAGATTCACTCAAGCATGCGAGCATCGCCCCCGGTGGCATCCGCCACATCCCTGCTCGGTCAGAAGCACATGATGAGATAAGGATCTGGGAGTTTCGCTTCGTCAACTTCCGAAGCCGCACAAAGTCTAGAGGCAACAGGGTGCAGCAGACCTGAAGACGGGACGCTTGCAAGCTAAGCCACGTCGGTCACTCCGCTCGCCAGCTGAGGCCGCCGAGACATTAGACCAACCCCTTCCAAGCCCCGTAAAAGACGTGCAGCGAGCTTTCAAGAAAGGATGGCTGAAATGTATTTCGATTGCAAAGATACCTGCATCAACTAACTAACACCGGCAAGCACTTGCAGATCTCACAGCATTAGTGGCATGTGGACCTTGCGATGAGCTGCATTCCCACTGCATGGCACAACAGACTCGCTCAAGAACTGGATTTTGTGGGACACAGTCGACACCGTCAACCGCCGGTGAACCAAACAGGAAGCAGCGAAAGAAGCGACGAAACAGATCCCGGCAGGCACGGTCGGCACGGCCGGCGGCATCCCGCAGCATCCCTGCTTGCAAGTAATCGACTCGAGCCATTGCCACTAAAGGCGCCTGTAAGCAAGGCTGACGGCTTGAACACAGGTGCTTGAATGGAGAAACTGCATCGTCATCCTGCTTAGTTTGCCTACGTGCTCCAAGGGGTAAGGAGGCGAAGCAAAGCGAAGCAGCATATCTGCAGTATCACAAAGCAGCACAGCCACGCGTTTCCGCAGACAAGCTGCAACGGGACAAATGGCTAAAGTGGCTAGGCCACGTCGGCCACTCCGCTCGCCAGTTGAGGCCGCCGAGACATTAGACCAACCCCTTGGCTTGCGGAGGTGGTCCTTTAGTGGGCCGGCGGAAAACGGTGCACAATAAAACCATGAAACCCATGAAACCCCGCGGGGGCCTGGAAACGGATGCCCGAAGCGGCCCTAACTTCCACCATCTCTCCAAGAAGCTTCCTGCCAAATCACCATCAACGCAAATCCTCAGGCAGCCGGAACTCCCTCCAAACCCGCCCCACGCCCTTCGGAGTCACAAGGGACGGTGCCCGACATTGCCATGACAAGGGCTA